ACAGGTCAAGGGGGCGGGATGAGGTTAGTCGGTAGGAGATGGGGGTGTGGCTTGAGGTGGGAGGAGGGGATGGGTGTAGGTGGGAGGAAGAACAGGTTAGGGAGGCAGGGACGAGCTGGACTGGTTTTGGGATGCGGTAGGGGGAGGGGAGATTTTGAAGCTTGTAAAATCCACATTGATACCATTGGGCTGCAGGGTTCCCAAGCGGAACATGAGTTGCTGTTCCTGCAACCTTCGGGTGGCATCGTTGTGGCACTGCAGGAGGCCCAGGATGGACATGTCGTCTGAGGAATGGGAGGGGGAGTTGAAATGGTTCGCGACTGGGAGGTGCAGTTGTTTGTTGCGAACCGAGCGTAGGTGTTCTGCAAAGCGGTCCCCGAGTCTCCGCTTGGTTTCCCCGATGTAGAGGAAGCCACACCGGGTACAGCGGATGCAGTATACCACATTGGCAGATGTGCAGGTGAACATCTGCTTGATGTGGAAAGTCTTCTTGGGGCCTGGGATGGGGGTGAGGGAGGAGGTATGGGGGCAGGTGTAGAACTTCCTGCGGTTGCAGGGAAAAGTGCCGGGTGTGGTGGAGCTGGAGGGGAGTGTGGAGCGGACAAGGGAGTCACGGAGAGAGTTGTCCCTCCGGAAAGCAGATAAAGGTGGGGAGGGAAAGATGTCTTTGGTGGTGGGGTCGGATTGCAGATTACAGCCTTGTACTGGGCTGCAAATGTTTGGTTTTTAAACTTGCTCCATTTACACACTGTGGTGCTGAAATAACCATTAATATATAGTTTTTAAGCTACAGAGATACAAAGGATAACTTCATTATTGTAGTATTACTATTAGTAGCATTATTGCTACCAAAATAAATCCCAGTTTTAAATGAAATTAAAATGTTTAATAATTTTTCTGACTGGTGTAGTTCTAGTGAAACCACAATGTATTTGAACTAAATCCTTCAGTCCTTTAATATGTTTAAAATGTACATGCTCGCTCCTTATTCAGCAAAGCACTCAAAATGATTTGGTTGGAAAATTTACCCTGTAAGCAAATTAATTTTGTCTGTTCAGTCTTCCCTTTGTCTCACTTTGCCATTCATTCCCTTTGCCAGCTTTATTTAGCTCTAATTGCCAAATCTTTCCTAACAAATTTTTCTTTTTAAATGCTGACTTTTATATACTTGTGTTATTTCCTTATACTGCCAATTTCAGAGTAAAAATAATTTAACTGAATTGTGACTATTCGGCTGAAAACTAACTATAAAAGCCAATGCAATCAAAATCCCATGGTCAATTTCTCTTAGTTGACCATAAATCCTAATCACACTTAATTGCACAATCTAGTTCACAGAAGGCCAGGGATGAAATTCATGTTATTTTTAAAGGTCTTTTGAATTTCACCCTATTGAGAGAATTTAATAATTTAATTTCAATAAGTAAATTAAAAAGGATATATTATTTAATAAGTTCATCAGATGTGCAAACATGCAAAAGCCAAACCTTTTGGAAGGATAATGGTAAAACTTGCAAATTCAGTTTCTTGGTGTGAGCTTTGAAAACTGGGAGTGTATTTACTCAAGTCAGTGAACTCAAAATCCAATGGACCGTGACGAAGCACTTAAGTTCCTGTCCCGTGCTTCTAGAATGAGAAGCTCATAAGAAATTTAAGAAAGCCAGTCTACCTTTTTTCTAAAATGGTTTTATGCAATAATCTAGTTATGTCACTAGAGGCATAAATTAGTAGACTGAGCTTTATTCATAACAGTAGGTTAAAAGAAGAGAATTTCAGTTTATGTATGGTTATCTGGGCTTACTGGGGCTTAAATTGGTCTTCACTAGTTGCTGAAAATAGAAGAAAGTCAACAGAAAAGAAAAACCGCCTGTTAGATTTGCTGTGATCCAACCCAAACTACCAGTGAAGGCTACATTTGGCCCCATTCAGCTGAATATTCAGCAATATGCAAATTAAAAGGAAAAGCAATGGCAGAAATTCAAGATGTTTCTTGTGCTTACTCCTGATTAGATGGCATCTATGATGTTGTTACCATTGGAGCTCCAGCAGCCCATATTCGGGGGTTTCGAAATGGAGGCCTTCGTAGGCAACTGTACAGATTTGAGGGAGAAAAAAGGAAGTAAGTTAAAAGATTAACTACTTAATATATAAGCATGACTATTTGGTTGTACTTTGCATTAAACAAATTTGCAGTATTTATTATTAGCTTCTGATTGGTCTACATCTTGAGGTGTTAATACCAGAGGAATTTTCTGTCCTTGGTCCAGTGAAACTGATTACAACATCAGGGGTTTGATTTTTCAATCCTGGGTCAGGAAACCAATGCCCTGATATTTTCTGGGTCTAGATCTTACATCACAGCTATATTACTTACAGAATGCAATCTTCAAATGTTGATTTTCTAAATAAGATGACCACAAGCTCAGTTATTGGTGTGGGAACCTTCTGCTGAGCATAAACATCAGACTGTGGACATGATGGGATTAATCACTGCCTTGCTGAAAGAGGAGGCAGCTCATTGAAAGGCCAGCAGCCTTACCATGCATGCAAGTGACACAACTGCCAACTAAAAGAGATTGTGCCCAATCCAGGACAAATCCTAGTGCCAAACATTTTTCATCACAAAAGAAAATTTGATCTTTCTCCACTTTGAACTGACAGCTGTGCTGTAATGTGTGGCAGACTGTTTGTTTAGATTTGACCCCTTCAAAGTTTCCTTCTAGCTCTCCCTCGTCTGTTAATGAGATCCTCAATGGGAAAGTAGTTGCAAGTCAGCAGGATTCTGACATTGGGTTCTGCCATTTCTTTGGAAATTCTGCAGTTGCACACCATCCATAAGCTCTATTTTCAAAACGCACCTGCTCCTATTCTTGGCCCTGGTGTCAGTCAATGTGCAGAATAACACTGACATCTAAGAGTTACTCTCAATAAATTTATATTTCTCTAGAACCCGCTCTCAGCCTGCAATCAAAAACTTGGGCTGCATTGCTGTTAGAACTGACATAAAAATCCTGGAAAACCGTGAAGAAAAAGGAGTAAACTTGGTTTTTAATCATGTAATATCTTCATATGAATGCATGTTATTGCCCCCTGGCACTTGTGGGGGAGGGCACGTCATGTATGTCCGGTACACAGTCCACCTCCTTTCTGCCTGCTCCTGACCTGGGGTGGGTTATGCCATCTGCCCTTATTCCTATTGAGACCTTAACTGCTCAAATAATTAGCAAGTAAATGCCTCAATTCACCTTTGCTGCCATAAAATGCTGGGCAGTAGCAGGCAGGCTAGAATGCAAATGTCGCTTTTTGAGAGAACTCCTTTGCAAAGCAGGAGGGAGGAGGTGCTCATCAATCCAGGGGTGCACTTTGCACAATAGGACAAACTCTGGGATTACACCTACCTCATCCCCCTACATCTTCCCTATAGAACCCATCTCCCCAACCCCTGTTCTATCTCCCTTGCTGTCCAATCCTCTCTATTTGAAATGCCAGGACTACTTAAGCATCACTATTCTTCCTACATTTTCTCCAGTCTGAGCAGCACCCACCACTGTTTGATGCTGATGGGACTGGTGGATGTGCTATCAGATTTAAACTGCAGTTGGGAAAAGGGGAAGCCATGCCACAGAAATCCATAGAATTATATGTTTAGCTTTCCCCCAGGCCAATGATGGGCCCTGTTGCTTCGCTGCTAATGGCAAAATGCAGGCCATTTTAGTTTTTAAACTTCCAAACAATGTATCTCGTCATGGTACTGTTTCTGAACAGTTCAAGCTGCTGAATGCAAGGCTTTAATTTAATCACCTGTGAATTGTGAAATAGAGCACAATGTAGAAATATTTGCAGAATTGTTGTGTTTGTAACATGCATAGCCCAGGCTGTCCTATCTTCTTTCCTGTAACGACTTGATGTCAGTTGACTTTGGAGGGGCAAGTGTTTATCTTTGAAATAATATTTCTGCCTCCTGTCCTGGCAACTTCGACATCAGGTGAGGTGAAAGCGAGGAACATATGCAACTCTTGAATTGTCGAGCCACCCTGCATGTTACACAAAATATTTGTAAGTCTCACTAAAAGACCAGATTGCTAACTCATTGTCTGTGCAATAAATACAGGATACGACAAAAATTGGGTCTGGTACACATATTATGACTGAGGTTGGAGGAGTGCATTGATTCCTTTGTAGGCCCATTCCTTCCCAGGTGATAACAACTCTTATTTTAACCAGAGTCAATTAGGGTAACAGGATAAACACAGGAAGGATGTTACTGCTGACCAGGAGAGTCCAGAACCAGGGTTCAAAGTCTAAAGATACAGTGTAGGCCATTTAGGATGCTGTTGACAAGAAATTTCTTCACCCAAAGAGTGTGAGCCCATGGAATTCTTTACCACAGTAAAAAAAAGTCCAAAATTTCGATGTTTTCAAGAAGGAGATAGATAGAGTTCATACGACAAAAATAGGCACAGGGTACTGAGTAGTATGATATGCCATGATCATATAAAAGAGTGGAGCAGGCTCAAAGGGCCAAATGGCCTGTTCCTATTTTCTATGTTTCTATGTAATTATGTACTTCTTAGATTCAGCCAGGTTTCTTCCATTAGCCAAGAATAACTAGTTTATTTCAAATGACACTTCAACAAGAATGCAAACATTATTGACAAATAAAGAGTTCAGACTGCAAAGACAGGTAAAACTCATTGTAACATCCCAAACTTAACATGATGCAAATATGGTTGACAGACAAATGATGGTTGAATATCCTACAGAACACAAAAATAGCAAATACAGTCAAAACAGATCCCATAGATTTCTTAGCAGTACCTCACAGACATTAGTGAGACTGGGTCATCAATATCTTGTTAAAAATTTCTTTTAGACGTAAGTTGTCAAGTTTATGGCGACTGATGACAATAGGAGATATGGAGATGGTGTGGGCAAGTGGCATTGACATAGAAGGTCATCCAGGTCTTACTGAGTGACAGGACAGAATCAATGGGTTAAATAGCTTACCCTTGTTCCTGTGTAACTGATTGTGATTCCTTGTAATTCAGCATCTTTAAAAATCCGAAAAAAAACACTTTGTCATGAATTGCCTTAGTGATTGCTCATGTTCTGGATGTCTATTTTTCCTTCCTGGGACCATGCTTCCCTGAATTCTTGGATACTGCAGCTGAATGCCCTACTGCTGCTGCTATGTTCTACTTAGTCACAGGTACAATACTAGCTCTTTCAAAACAGTGAGCCTCACCAAATGAGTACTACCTCTGGCACTGAGCTCTTTCCTGAGCTCTTATCTTGCTCAGTTACCTAACGCAAATACTGCTGTTGGCATTCAACTGATAGTTTAGTACAGCAACACTATCAATTATATGTCAAATTCTTTCAAGCTCCTATGAGTCCTCACTACTCTGGGACATCACCGAGTTCCAACTACACTGAATCCGTGTGGTTCAGTGCCTAATTATTAATTGCGTCCTGCCTTCTCTCAAGGCTTTCACAGTTATTTATGACCCTGAACCCTCACAATACAGAGTTATTTGACTGCTACAGGACTTTACTAAGCCATAACTGTGTGGCATCTCTGTAGTTCAATTTTAGCGGCATAGCTAACAGCAGTTCTACCTAACATGGAATCTGCTCTATCTCTCTCTCTCGCTTGTCTGTCTCTGTCTCTGTCTCCTTCCCCAACAAACTGTGACCCCTTAAGTGTCCTGAGTGACCTAATGAAACATTTGCAACAGTCTTGTGCTCCTGTTGCTGGGCAGAATTGAATTTAACTAATATTTTGGAATAGTCAAATGTAGTAAATCCTTAGAACTCATCATTTCTTAAAGATTACCATTCACACAGAATGCTGGTTTATAGCAAAATTTGCATATAATATACAAACACAGTAATATGTATATTACTTACATGAAACATGCATAATTTTGTTTTGTGTTTTGCAAGTCTACAGATGAAGGTTGTATAAGATCTTTCTTTCTGGTTTCAAAAACATTTTTGGCTGGCATATCATGGCACACAAGTATAGACAACAAGGCTCTACAATGAAATGTGTGATCTGTGGTTTCATGGTTATTAAGCTTTATCCATGTAATAAAGCATTAATGAGAAAAAGAAATGTAACTGAAGTAGGAGGGTTGTGCTGCTAAGGTCAGCTGAAAAGATTGGATAGAAACTGGTGTTGTTTATAAATACTGATATTGACCATAAGGGCTGACTTGCTTGTTTCTATACTGGCCCGCCTCTATATTTTATGATGTTTATTGATTAAATGTTATTATAATCTGGACAGTAGGGATCTGCATTTCATTTCTTCACTTGTAATGAAGAATAGCAAAGGCCTGAAACATTACTGGGCTGTGCCAGGTAAAAAGTGATGCCATGAAATAAAATACAGTAACAGTCATTATAAATACACAGGAACCAGAGCAGTAATCATTAATAAGGCCCCTTGAGCCTGCTATGCTCTTCAATGTGATCATGCTTAATTTTTCACTCAGCTTTTTGGCCAAATGCCCATAACTATTGACTACTTGGAGTCCAAATGTTTGTATATCTCATCCTTGAATGTGTTGAATGCTGAACATTCACTGGCCTCTTAGAGAAGAGAATTCTAAATATTCATACTCTTTTCAGTGAAAGCTTTTCTTGTCTACTCAGGCTTAAATAACTTGGCCTCTTATACTGAGACCATGCTCTCTAGTTCATGACTGTCCAGATACATACCTTGCAGTGAGGCCTCTTCTGGAATACTGTATCCATTTCTGGTCGATCAGCTTAGGCAGGATGTTATCAAGCTGGAAAGGGTTCAGATGAGATTTACCAGGATGTTTCCAGGTATGGAAGGTTTGAGTTATAAAGAAAGACTGGATAGGCTGGGACTTTTTACAGTGGAGCGTAGGAGATTGAGAGGCGACCTGAAAGAAGTTTATAAGATAATGAACTTCTTGAGGAAGTGATGGATGCAGGTACGATTACAACATTTAAAAGACATTTGGATAAGTACATGAATAGGAAAGGTTTGGAGGGATTTGGGCCAGGAGCAGGCAGGTTAGACTAGTTTAATTTGGAATTATGTTCGGCATAGACTGGTTGGACGGAAAGGTCTGTTTCCATGTT